AATGCCAGTCCTTGTGCCAGCAGGACTGCTGACCAAAAGGTTGGTGGTTTGAATTCGGGGAGCGGTATGAGATCCCATCTGTCAGCTCCAGCTTCTCATGCGGGGACATGAGAGAAGCCCCCCACAGGATGAGAAAACGTCAGGGTGTCCCTGGGCAGCGTCCTTATAGATGGCCAATTCTCTCACAACAGAAGTGACTTGCAGTTTCTCAGGTCACTCCTGACATGAAAAAAACTTTCACTGGACCTTCTCAGTTGTTTAGGAGCACATACATGGGAATATGGAGCCAACTGAAGGAATAACAAGAATATGACGCAGATATTGCATAGTTGGGAGGGAAATAAAAGAATGTGTGACAAACAGAAGAAATAATGTCATGGCAGGCGGAGTTAGAGGATGATAGAGGCTGTCAGAAGAAGGGAGTACAAGAAGGGATCATGAGAATAAGTGGAGAAGGAGAAGAGAAAGAAGGAAAAATCTTAGAGGGGGAGATTGAAGATATCACATCATAGGAGTTTAGTAGTGATATAAGCATAGAGTTTGAGAAGCCAGTCTTCCAGTCCAGGTCATCACTGAATTGACTGGTCTTGACACCTCTGAACTAGCCAGGCTTAATGATTTCTTTGACATCCTAATCCTTAGCCTTCCCTACAGCAATGGTCAAACATATCACCTCATTAACCAGTGTGTAATCTCTGGATGTATGGACTATGACAGCCATGGCACCACCTAATCTGGTGCCAACAGGCTCTCACATGCAGGGTGATCTTGGGAACTAGCATGTTGTTACCATAGTATGCCTGGCTGAAGCCTCTGGAGAGGCAGTGGAATATCTGGCTGCAGGTGAGGGAGTTTTCCCTCAAAGGAAAATGGTCACACTTGGAAGGAGTAGTCCTGGGCCAGCAGTTTAAGAGGTTTCCATTCAGTTCAAGCCATTCTCAGAACAGAGGTGCTCAGAGCCATCCTTGGTGTTGCTATGCCTATAGAGTCTCACACCTGGTGTGGCAAATGTATAGGTTATTGTTAAAAAGGGGAGTATGTTATGTCGGATTAATAAGAAAGTATTGGGATGGAGTGAAAGCAACAAAAACATCAGCTTCCCAAAAGGCAAACTGATGAGACTAAAAGGGACTTGACCAAGAGCTTGCATGCAAAATAGAGGTGCTGCATGAACACTGAATCACAAAAATCATATTTTTCAGCTCCACCACCCATTTTATAGAAGACAAATTGATGAGACAAGTAATTTTGGCCAAGAAACTCCAAGGCAGAAATGGTGTTCAGCCCCCAGTTCTGAGTCACTTATTCGCCCATTCAAAACAAAGCAAAAATATTTATTTCTCAGGAAGGAAATCAGTGATGCTCAGAGAAACAGAAAGACGGAGCACTCGTGCACAGCTCACATCCCCAAAGAAACCCAGACGACACAGAGAGAGACAGATGCTCCCACACAGCAAATCACATAGCAAACCAAAACAACAAACAGAACCAGCGAACATGCCACAACAAAGCAAACTAGAAGAACTAGGCAAAAAGCACAGAGAGAGATAGGCAGAGCCTATGTAAAGCACCAACTTCCTCTCTGCCATCACATTGAGAGACTCAAGATGGTCCCCACCACTCCCTTCAGCCCTTTTGGTAATCTTCCTTTTTCAGGGCACAGGGTACTTCAAAACAAAGGGCTGCAGGCCCACTGTTAATATGATGTTAGGGCTCCAGGTTCATTCTTATAAATAAGATACTGCTAAATTCTGGTGTGGTTTGTAGACATTCCAGCTTTCCTTGTTTTAATTATTTTTAAAATGACAATTTAAGTAAATCCGGAAGAAGAAGGAGCCCAGAATATCCTTTGCAGGAGAAGTGACAAAATGCAGCCTTGGGGTCCTCCAGGGAGTAAAAACAAATTGTGATTGCAAACTGCAACATATTTTTTTGCTTCCAAATGCCATAAAAGGATATTTGGGAGTAGGGGGTAGGGAGCAGTTCTACCACATTTTGACTCTCAAACCCAAAGGGATTAATATGGTATTTTACCATTTTTCTGAAAATCTTTTGTCAGCCTCCAAATGCCCTCTAGAGGCCTGGGAAGGATCTCAAACATGGTCTCTAGTGTGAATCGTTAGTCCTTGGGGCACACAAAAATTGCCCTGGGGGCAGCACTTTGCTTACCTTTGCTTTAGAGGGTTGGGCAAAATATAGGAACAGGTGTGGCGTGATGTGTGGCCCCGTTAAGGTTTCCTGGAAGACTAATGCGGACCATTAGTCTCCCACAGTTACCCACCCTTGCTCTATAGGAATGTTGGTACTAGAGTGTACACCAGAGCTTTCCAAACTTTTGTATTGGTGACACACTTTTTAGGTATCCATAATTTTGCGACATTCAGTATTACTAGGAAAATAGAGGTTAAACCAACCCGTTATAAGATATACAGACACCTACAAAAATTGCAGTAACATAATATATTGGGCCACAATTTATCTCATGATTTTTATTTATATTTTTAAATATATGATTTATAGGATAATAAATTTCCAAAATTTTGGTCATTTCTTGTTACATTTGTGTGACACGTCTACACACCGCAGAACTAATGTGTTACGACACACAGTTTGGAAAGCTCTGGTCTATAGACTCAGATTATGAAATAGAACTATTATTCTGGGCATGGATATTTATGCTAATTTTTGCGAACTGTAACCCAAACATATATGCTCGCTTAGCATTACTCCGTTTGGTCTGTAAATGGTAAGAGTCTTATTATAGTTTCTAAACGAATCAATCATGACATTTGATGGTTTTGGGAGACTATTAAGTGAAGTCCAGGCAGAATGGAGAGCCTCAATTACTTAATAAAGGAGTCGGTGTAAGACCACTTAAATATCAAACAATCCTTTGCAATATTGTGGGAAATGGGGAAAAACAATACAATCATGCAATTTAGAGAGAAAAAAGGAACAGGAGGAATCAAATATGATTGTTTGGACAAAGTGAGCATGGAACAAAAATCAACAACTTATATTTTTTATATGATGGATTAGACATAGATTCAGATTTTTTTCTCTCTGAGAAAATAGGATAGGTACAGAAGAGTACTGTATTATTAACAAGAAGTGTGTGGATTTTGAAAGGAGGATTAGGGAAGAAACATCACCTAAATGATATGAATACTGCTAAGTAGCCAGTATGGTGTGGTGATTTGAGTGTTGGAGTATGACTCTGGAGATCAGGGTTCAATTCTCTGCTTGGCCAAGGAAACCCACTGACCTTCGGCAAGTCATACTTTTTCAGCTTCAGTAGAAGGCAAACACAACCCCCATCTGAACACATCTTGCCAAGAAAACATGATAGGGTTGCTTTAGTTGCCATAAGTTTAAAACAATTTGAAGACTCACAGCAACATCCTGTTTTAATAGAACGGGAATGTGGAAATCCTCATACTACTCCCTTTAAAAGTAAGCTAAAGAAGCGTGTGCCAGCAGAATTTTATCTAAAATCAAGCCACTGAGAAATAAGACAGATACTGATATGCTCAAAAGAAATATGGGTTTGAACAATTGCTGCTCAACTTTTTAAAAGGACCAAAGCAGCAGTCCCTTTCTCTCACATGCCCCCCGAACAATCTCAGGGAGGACTGAGCATAGGCAGAAAACACACATTGAAAAAGAAAACACACACTGAAAAATATAAAATTCTGCTGGCACAGGAAGGGAAACATACGGATTATTTGAACCACACCCCTCCCCCAGGCAGGCAGTCAATCCCTTGCATCTCCAGGAGCTAGAAGGTCACCAATTGTGGAGTGAGAGGAGTCGGGTGTTCCTCCTAGAGAGATATTGGGCTCTATGTGTTATGAAAAACTTATACTATCCCCCTCCCCTTCAGAAAGTGGAGAATTTCTGAGTGGCATTTGGAGCCAGCAAGGATGACCCAGCATTATAAACATTTGATTGCTGCACAGATTCCCATGTCCCAAAAAATCAATCATCTCCTTCCAATTATCCTTCCCCGATTTTCTTTGTGATGAGAATATCTTGTAATTGGTGAAACCTATCAAGGCACAGGCATACTGGGTGCTGTAATTCCTGGAAAAGACAGTAATGTGAATCTCTGGGAATTAAAAACATATTATTATTATTATTATTATTATTATTTTATTTTACTGGCACAAAAACACAGTATGTCACAGCAAACAAGATATATGTGCTGGATTTCGTATCACAAAATCAGAAGTCAAACACTTCCCAAGCGTCTAGGACTGTGATATTATTATTATTATTATTATTATTATTATTATTATTATTATTATTACATAAGGTAGAAAGCAAAAGATTTGCAGTTTAATTTTGGGTTTACCCTGTCATTAGAAATCTCCTCAGGGTCTCATTATTTTCGGTTTATTTTTAGTCACTGAACAAAATCTCCCAAGGGAGACAAACAAACTTAAAAGGACCAAAATCAAATTGCTATCCAGCTTTGAACAAAAATCCTGGAACCCTCTCAGCTATTGTATTCTGACCCCGATGCTCTCTCCTCTTTCCACGTATAAGCTTTGCAGGCCTATAGGACAAAAGCTAACCTCTGCCCAATGGCACAGGAGGAGAGAGATTGAGGGCGCATACAGTCTAATTGGATTTTGTTCCTGTTCTTTCCAATTTTATACAGAGTTAAAATAAATTGACCTGGGGAGCTGATATAAAAAAATTTCTGATGTACCAGGAGCTGACAGAAAATATTTTGGGATAAATAAAACATGTATGAATCTTCTTCCTTAAATGTAGTGAAGATCTGTGATTTGGTCAAAATAGATGGTCTGTCTATCAATGCAAACTGCAGTTGTTTCACATCATTGTGTTCAGAGCTGCTTTCGCCAATTCATCAGTTGGTGGCCAGTTTTCTGGTAGTGAGCTACCATGGAGCAGTTGTATCTTGTGAATGTGTTTTCCTGCTATTTCATTAAATAATTGAATAATTAACTTTGTGTCTATTCCCACCTCCACAGCTATCTACTGGTAGACAGCCAGGCAAAAACCTTTGGGGTCTCCACTCAAGTCCCATGGATGGCGAGGCGTGCTGTTGTCCGATCATCCCTGTTGTCCCCTCCCAGCTACTATGAGGCGGTACACGATGGCCGTGGGCCTGCTAGTCCCGAGTACCCTTTCCTTGGCAGCTGGTACCACTATATGGGCCAGGAACCTCTCACCTACAAGCGGCGTGGAGGCGTGGTGGATCATCGTGATATCATCATGGCCCATCAAGCTCACAAGATCCATAACACACCACAGGCACAACGCAAGGAGTGGGAGTGAGTATATGCCAGTTCTGTCATTGAGTCCTATGGATCCCTGGGTTTCTCTCAAAAAGGCTCCAAACGGTTCTGTTGTTCAGTGAGTGATGTTCTCCTTTTCACCACCTGCAACCCTGTTAAATTGATTTAAGAGAAACTGTACAGGCAGGGTGCTGATCCAACCCCCCACCCTCCATACAGCCTCTCAGTCATGTTATCCTGCTTCATTGTCTCACCCACCTGCCCCTCTCTGGCTTCTTCATTTTATTATTGTATCCCGCCAAGCACAGCCTACAACTGAGTTGAGTGGACAACCATATTTACACTTAAAATTACCTCATTGGCTCAGTTCTGATTCTGTCATAATACTCATTCTCTTTATTGCTCCTATTTTGATGCTCCGGGGTTTCTGGTGAGTGAATCTGGCTCTGCTAAGTCAAAATCCTATTTTTTTTAAAAAAACATAGGTGAGTATGTATGAACTCACATAAGTTGGTGTCTTACTGTACAGTTCTGGATATGTCAGAAAGAAATCACATGAGTTCAGTTTCCTTCTAGGAAAAAAAAGATAGATTTACAGTTGAAATTGTTGTGTCTACTCTTTCAGGACACCAGACTTCACTTTTATACATTTTAAAGACATGCTTGAACATGTTGTTGTTCATTCGTTCAGTCGTTTCCGAGTCTTCATGACCTCATGTTTGAACATGTATATGGGTGGAAAAGCAAATATGGACTTTTGTATGAGGCTTCCAATGATTAGAAAGCCAACATGTTTCTGATGAGTAGTTTCTACAAATATATTTGCTAAAATAGGCCAGACAGTTTTTAAAGTGTCACAAGACTGATGTTTTTCCTAGAGTTATTGGTCAGGAGGAATGATAGAAATATGGTGGATACTTTTGCAGGTATAGTATGACCCCTATATCTGTGGCTTCATTTGTCCACATCCAACAAAATATGTCCTCTCTAGGCATGTTCTAGGTCCTCCAGCACAACTTGGTGAGATTCTTGGAACAGAAGTTATTCATTTCAAGAGCATTCCCTATTATGTATCATTTCACATATCAACACAAAATTTGGGAATATGTCTTCTATCCATACGGGTGAAGGTTGTACTGTACTTTGTAGTGCAGCCAAGCATGGATAAAAATATTAATATTACCAGCATGCTCATTTTTGGCACATGAACATGTCTGGAAAAATGTCTTTTTTCCCTGGGATCTGCTACTGCTACAGCTGCAGTTGCTCTATGAAATTGTGCATGAGTCATGGGAACCTGTTTGGTGTTGCCTGAGATGTGAATAATGGCAAATGACTCAGTTCAACATGACTCAATTTCCTGAATTTCCCAGTTTTAATAGGATTTGGGACATAATTGTGTGTATTTTTACTTGAAAGTAAGCCCCATTATGTCAGTAAGGTTGCCTATGACTGTACTGTTACACATACATTGGAGCAAATGTTCTTGAACCTGAAAGAACTTGCTTCTAACAGCACTTCTAGAGGATTACATCCATGCATATACCATCCCTTCCTGCCCTATTTATTTCCAGCGCAGTGCAGATGTCCAAGTGTTTAAATCTAGCAGCATGGTTTCAGATGTTCTTTTCTAACTTATGTAGACACTGCTGCATCCTAGAAGGAACTTATATGGTATGCTTTGCAGTATCATTTGTTTATTTGTCAATCCATTTCATTTGTGATGTTACTAGATTGCTTTGCCAAAAATATATTCAAGGTGACTTATCAAAAATAACAATGTTTTGATTATAAATTAAAAGTGGTGTGAAAATAGGTGTTTACAACTGCAAGAAAATAAACCTTTAAATCTCTAGTGTCTAAATCATTTGAGAAGGCATATATATTTGATATACATACACAGAATCTAGTTATTTTGCACAAAAGCTTTTAGTTTTGTGTTAAAGGAGTTCTCTTCTGCCGTTGGCTTCCCAATTATAGCCAGTAGTTTTCAGTCACTTCAGATCTGAAGCCCAGACATTGCAAATTAGGATGATGAAAGTGTCACTGAAACAAGCCTCCTTGAGATCATTACAGGCTGGGTCATGATCTTCAAGTGACCAAGCCAAACTAAGAGGTACGGCAGGGCAAACTCCTTTCCTGCTGCAAGGCATGTAAATCTGTGTTGCCAAGAAACGGCCAAAGCAAAGGCAAGCATGGCCCTTACTGTAATCCTCAGAAGTGCATCTGCAGAGACTGCATGTGCTCACACAATATTCTGCTCTTTGCAGGTTCTAGCTATTCTGGTTTTCTTTTATCCCACATGGCTGAAAGGAACCAGGGTGCCCATGATAGAATTCCTGTTATAAGTGCAGGGATGTCTCTTAGGAAGAGAAGTACTAATCTTTACCCCAATAAACCTAACTATCACCACAGAAAATATCCCGTGTTTATGGTTTTGTGGGTAAACACAGAGCAGAGAGCCAGCATGATGTAGTAGTTCAAGTGTAGGACAACTCTGGAAACCAGGGTTCATATCCCTTCTCAGCCATGGAAAGCCACTGGGAGACCCTGAGGAGATCATAGCTGAAGAGGCAGGCAAAGGCAACCCTCTCAAAAACCTTATCAAGAAAACCCCATTATAGGTTTCCTTTAGGATTGCCATAAGTCAGAAATGACTTGAAGGAACACAACAACAATAATATTGTTTGTCACAGGAATAGATACCCTAAAAACATCATATCCTTGCCAGTCCTTGGTGCTAAGCAGGGTCATTCCTGGTTAGTACTTGGATTGGAGACATCCAATGAACACCAGTGGTTGTAGGCTATGTTTCAGAGGAAGGAACTGAAAAAAACCATATATTCCTTGTTTATGAAATTGGTGGACTTGCCATAAATTGATAGATGACTTGAAAGTATGTATGCACAAAACTTGAATTCTGAATTAAAACATCTGTTTCTGCCCCACCAGAGACTGTCTTCCAGTTTTGGCATCTCTTGCTATGCGACCGTCTTGGCCTCATTTTCCTGTCTTAGACACATTCACACAGCATGGGGCATTGTTAAGGCTTTGGAGACAAATCCATGGTCTTGTATGGATTATTTTTAGAGTGATCAGAGACTACCAGGATATTACAAATAAATACTCGGGACACATGATCAAAAAGAGAATCAAAAGGATCCCAGTAATTATAGGTCAAAATAGTTTAATAGATATTGTTGCCAAAATTTATGCTAGGTTCCTATTGAGCAGAGTTGAGAGCAAAAGGTATCCTTGTGGAAAAACAAGCTGGTTTTAGACAAAACCAATCTACCACCAATAACTGTTTTATTCTGAATCACTTGATTGCCAAAGAAGTCTGTAAGAGGAGACATTTCTATGTTGCCTTTATCGACTTCTCTGCAGCATTTGATACGGTGAAAAGAGAAGTATTAAGGGATAAGCTGTCCACCCTCAAAATCAAACTTAGATTGTTGCTACTGATCAAAGCCTTGTATACAGTCACCTGTTTGAGAGTATGGTAAATGGAGCTATGACAAGCAGAATCAATATTTTTAAAGGGGTAAGACAAGGTTGCATTTTAGCTCCAGTATTAATATTTATATCAGTGACCTGCTAGAAGTAATGAAGAACCCTGTAGCTCATATGCCTAAAGTCCTAAATACATACTGTAACACTTTGCTATATCCTGATGATATGATATTACTATCATATTTGCAAACTGGACTTCGTAGATTGTTAAGAAGGCTTAGCTCCTATTGCCAGGATAGCTCTAATCATCAACAAATCTAAGTAAAAATAATGGTGTTTGGGAAAAAGCAGAGATCCCAATAATGAAAGTATAGAAAGTTAACGATACACCTATGCTTTTATATGCATCAGAACTATAGGGCTTAAGTCCATCTCAGTAATAGAACAAGCACAATCTCAGCTATTGAGAAGCATACTGGAGTAGATAAAAGTATCTCAGCTGCTGCAGTGAGAGCCGAACTGGAAATTTACACAATCTATGCACAGTCAATTCCCAAACTCAAATACAAATATTTTAAAACAAACAGGATAATACAAAAATAATAACCATAAACTTGTGACAAAAGAGAAATTAACACCAAAATGAGGACCAAATACGAATAATTAAATAAACCTAATTATACTAATAACATCAATTAACCATTTAAACTTAAAGCCTAGAAAAGGCAATTAAAATACATTAAAATGACTATCAGGGTTGTTTTTCTCATGTACCACAGCAGCAGGGGACTACAGATAGGCTAGCCAGCATTCCGGTGGAACTGAAATGTCCTAATTCTCCTCCTCCTCCTCTTCTCCATACACCAAAGTGCTCAAATGTGTTTCCAAGAGCTCCTGCAAGTTCTCATTTCTGTCCGCTATTTGCTATATATACGTTCCTTTCAAATTTCCATCTAAAAATTGAAATGCAAAAACACTTTAGAGAGGTATTCATTCACTCGAGCTAGATTTGATCAGCTTGATACAATGGTCAGATACGGGAGGTTTAACAGCATCCCTTATAATGAATGGATTTATATCTGCGGAGCACCTGAAATTGAGGATATCGCACACATATTATTTGATTGGAAATTGTATCAGAAGGCGAGAGACTTGTACCTTGGTCCATATATCAAACCAACAATTTATTGTGAATCTCACATCAAAACAACGTTTTTTATATGTGGCAAAGACCCAAAAATAACATATAAAACAGCTCTGTATTTAAACAAAATAATACGTCTGAGATCCTCATGTGTGGGGCTGATTGGAGTAAATTATAGGGGGGATAGGGAAATATGATGTATATATTCCGTTTTATCACACTTATTTACTGTATTATTATAAGTGTCTTATTTAACTTACTACATAGAGTGTTATTAAGTTGTTATCAAGCTTTGTTTTTTAGTTTGGTATGGTAATATGGCCTAAGGGTTATCAATAAAATGTATTTATTTACTCAGGGTACATGACACGGCAAGTTAGCTAGCACTCCTTTGTTGAATCAAAAGTATTAGGAAAGTATTTCCAGCAAGGATAGTCAA